CCTCGAATACCATGCTGAGCATATCTTTTCCAGGCTCCAGAATCTACAAGAGCTCCCTAATGAGTTCCTTCCTCTTTGTATGTGAAGAACTCTGTATATTGGATCTCAGTACCTTTTTTTTTGATATAGGGTCTCAGTATGCAGTTCAGGCTGGCCTTGAGCTCACTTTGTAGCCTAGGCTGGTCTCAAACTCACAACGATCCTCCTGCCTCAGCCTCCCGAGTACTGGGATTACAGGTGTGTGCCACCATGACTGGCTCAGTACATTTTTGATGACTCATTGATTAATTGAAAGGCAATCTCTTTGTCATGAACAATAGTCTGTCAGCCAGACAGCTCATGAGTCTTTTTTCCCACATTCTGCATGAAGATCACACTTGGTAATCCATCCCCCGACCTTCTAGCCAACACATCTGCTATGGTTTGAATGTATTGCCCAAATGCACATATATTAAAAAACTGAATCCCCAAATTCATGCACTGGTGCTATTTGGAGGTAGGGTCTTGGGAGGTAACCAGCATAAAATGAGGTCATGATGGTAGTGTCCTCCTGGTGACATTACCGGCTTTAGAAGAGAAGGGGAAATCCAAGGCAGTAGCTTGCTCTGTCCTGCCTGAGAAGCCTCCACCATGTAATGCGTGGATCAAAAAGACCTCACCAGATGCTGAGCATATGCCAGTACCATGGTCTTGCACTTTACCCTACCAAACTGCAAGCCAAATACATCTCTGTAAATTACCTGACCTCCAGTATTTTAATATAGCAATAGAAATACACTACGATAGTTATCCATTCCCATCTTCAAGCCCAAGCTGCTTTCACCAAGAAGTGTTTGGTCCCCCTTAAAAACCCATCTGTCCCTAGCAAGTAGAGTAGTGGCTGTCTAGGGCTGGCAGGAGATCCTGCGCAGCTTCGTGGTGCTGGCTAAAGGGCATGGGATTTTATTATAGGATGACAAAAATATAAAATTGATGGTGTAATAGTGACACGTATCTATGAGTATACTAAAAACTACTGAATCAAACACTCTTTCTTTCTATCCTGGGAATAGGACTCAGGGTCTCTCGCATATAGGTACTCCATCTTTGAGCTAGACTCACAGCCCTGAAATAAACACTTTAGGCGATTTGTATAGTATGTAAATTGGGTCCAAAAAAAGCTGTTGCTCTGGACTCATCTCCAGGAAATTTTCCCAGACTCATGAATAAGAAGAATTCCATGTCAAACCATAGGGAAAATAAAATTATTCACTCATTCACTCACTTACTAGTAATTTATTCATCACCAAACATCTATGATCACCACAGAAGACCAGGTAGAATGCTAGTCAGTGAGCACACAAAGCTGCACAAGCCTGGGCGTGGCACATTCACGGGTTGCACCTCTGGATCCTGAGATCCCAAAGCCATGCTAACTTTATCATTTTCTCATCCCTTTCTTTCTAGCATGTAAGGAAAAGGATTTCCTGATCTTTGTTTTTAAACTTTGCACGTGAAAATCTACAAGCTATGGCCCTCGGTCTCCCTTATCTTCTACCTGTTCAGGTTAAATTCTATGGCAAACCTGAAAGGTGTTTTTCTCTGCTATGGAGAAGCAGATTTGAGGGGATGTGATAAGGAAAGATGCCATGTTACACTAATCCTCCACAGTCCAAGCCAGAGCACAGTCCTTTCCTAAGCATCATTTCCAAGTGATGTAATATATGAGGACACAGGTGCTGCTCTGGGACACGTGAGTATACAACCTCACACTCTTGAGCTCACATCCCCTGTAGGTGAGAGCCTCACAGAAAAATGACACCACGGCTTCACCCCTAAACCACAAGAGGAAGTTTAAAAGACATTTTCACACGTATCACTCTGTGACCGCCCATTAACCTGTGGATCTTCCCTTCCACAGATGATGGAGGTAGAGCGAGGTACCCAACCTCCAGAGCAAGTCAGTGACGTACGTGAGGTGTAAGCCGAAGTCTTCTGACTTTGCTGCTGCTGTTCTCTGCCCTCTAATTCCTTGAAATACCATTTCTTTCTTGGGCAACCTTGGTGAGTACCTACAAGCACCTGTTCCCCCTATCTCCAAGGCCTGAAAATGATGAGGTTTTGCTTTAGATGCAATCTAGGCAAATTCCAACAGAGGCAATAAAACAGTAGTAGAAATTGGAGTCACACAAAATTAGGTTTGCATCTAGAAGCGCCTTTTTTTTAATGCTGAGGATCAAACTCAGGACCTTGTGCATGTTGAGCCAGCATCTTACCACTAAGCTGTGAATCTGCCTTTTCTGTGTACACAGTCAGACCTCTGTGTCTGTACATTCAACCAACCAAGGGTGGAAAATATTCAGACAAAAAATGTTTCTACACTGAACATGTACAGACTTTTTCTGTGTGAATACTGTATTCCCTAAATAATACAGCACAACTATTTAGACAGTGTTTATGTTGTATTAGGTATTATAAGTAATCTAGAGATGATTTAGCATATACGGGGGATACACATAGGTTATATGCAAATATTACATCATTCTGTATATGGGACTTAGTATCCACAAGAAATCTTGAAATGGGGGCTGGGGATTTAGCTCAGCGGCAAAAGCGCCTGCCTGGCAAGCGCAAGGTCGTGAGTTCGGTTCCCGGTACCGGAGAAAAACCAAAAAAAAAAAAAAAAAAAAAGAAATCTTGAAACCAATCCCCAACGGACACTAAAGGATGACTATATATACATATTCTTCTCTCTCTCTCTTTTTAACAAAGAAGGAATCCTTTATTTTCTAAGGCAAAAAAACCTTTCTAAATGCACATATTATTCTAATTGAACAAGTCATTTATAAAAAAACTGCTTTAAACTGCACTTGGGAGATGAAAATTTCTTCCTGATTTTAACAGTGTGGTACCCACTGCAACAAAAATATAGATTCTGCCACCACCCTTAAATTATTGTCAAAACCAGGAGCCTTAAATCTAATCAGATTCACACCCATGCCAACCCTAGCCAGAAGTTGGAGACTCTTTTCTTTATATTTTTCCCTTAGTATACATAGCAGAATCTCAAGGCCAACACAAGATTTCTTTCAGTGTTTCTCACTTTTGAGGGAAAGCTGACAAGCCCTCTGTGTGTGTGTGTGTGTGTGCGTGTGTGTGGTGTCTCATGGAACCCAGGGCCTCAGACTTGCTAGGTAAGCGCTCTGCTGCTGATCTACATCCTTTCCCCTTTTTAAAGTTTATTTTAAGACAGGGTCTTACTAAGTTAATTGGGCTGGCTTTAAACTTTCAATCCTCCTGCCTCAGCCTACAGAATAGATGGGATTACAGGTGTGCACCACCTCACCCGCTGACAAACTATTCTAGTTCAAGACCAGCTCCCACCAAGCTTGTCCTTTCCTTCTACTCTGTAGGGAAGGCAGCAGGTTGAAGAGCCAGAACCGAAAGAATTCTTATCCCCAAGGTCCACAGAAGCCCCAGAACAAAACTCCACATCTGTACTCGTCTGCACAGTCATGTCCCATCATTACAAACAGAACAGAGAAGCCCTGGAAGGCTCAGAGTACTTATCTTCTGCATCACGAAGCCCTGCTCCTCAGTGTACCCCTCCATGACACATGGTCCACTTATCCTCCGCCCTTTGCCGGTATTGCTCCCCTTAGCCCATGCTGTGCACTGACACCGTCCCATTCCTGCATTCTTCTACCTATCTGCATTTAATTTTCTCTACTTCTAGAGGACTCTCTCTTTTCTCATACAATCAGTACTGTGTGGCATAGTACATGTCATCCAGTGGCTCCATCTGCTCAGTATGAATGATGCCTTCACTTCTTTTCTTTGTCTTTCTTTCTTTTCTTAACCACCATACAATGGCTGGGGCTGCAGATTTAGCCCAGCGGCACAGCGCCTGCCTGGCAAGCACAAGGTCATGAGTTCGATTCCTGGTCCCAGAACAAAAAAAAAAAACAACACCACCATACACCACCACTCCAGGCCTACATCTTAATTTCTCATACTAGTGTCCTCCTATCCTCCTTCTCAAGTTCCACATCCCCTCCCTCCACCATCCCTCCCCCCACACCCTTCCCAACATCCACTTTAGCTGATACCAGACCAAGCCTACACCAGCACTCACTAAATACTCTTTGAGTTGAAATAAATGAAACTGAACAGATGGGGTGAAGTATTCCTTGGGAAAGTGGGCCATGGCTCCGTTATCCGACACAAGACCACAAGTCTGTTAGGAGTCACAGCCCTAGTCTAAAGGTAAATGGGTAAATGGGCAGGTTATGTGGTATCAGTGAGCCTGTGAGCCCCACCCCCGCTACACACAGGCAGGCATTGGCTCCCCACTGTGGGGTGTAGCACCCCCCACAAGGCCACTGGATTGCCCTGTTGGCTTTTACAGCAATGCTCCACTGTGGAAAGTGAACTCCCACCGCCACCCAGATGGCACATTTACCTAGCAAAACAGGAGCTGGCCTAACGCACTGTGCTATGGAAATGTGCCTCTGATGTGGTAGGAAATAAGACTCGCTCAATGTGAACGCTCCATCTCCACGCACGTGCGCCAGCTGAAGGCAGTCGGGTGTAGCCACAGAGTAAAAGCTGAAATGCAGTTCAGACACCCAGGGGGAGGTCCCGCTTCTCTAGCTCCATCTGCACAACGGGAGTTAGGAGTACCTACCTCGGAGTTCGTGCGGGGGTGAAATTTGGAGCTACGCGGGCACGTGCTCAGCGAAGTGGCCCACACGTAGCAAGGGCTCAGTAAACATTAGCTGCTGTTGTTACTCATTTTGCTGTGAGGAGATGCAATATATCGTGAAGCCCCGGGCCAGTGTGTCATAGAAGATGATGCCCCTAGCCCTGGGTTGGGGTAAATCCACTAACCCTGGTGCCCTGCGCGGTGACAGGCACCTGCTTATGTCCAGAAGTTTCCACCACCAGGACGCGCAGGGGCCCTGGACGGCTCTGGGAAGGGCGAGAGGGCAGGGGAAGAAGACAGAGCGGCCGGGACCTACCTGCTTTCACTGCACTCTTTCCGCTCCCTCACCCGCAGCCACTTGCGGAGGAGGAAGCGCTTGCGGCGAGGGGAAGCGCTGGGCGTGGAGCAGTTGGACCACGGGGTGTCCTCATCGCTGGAGGGCGTAATCTCAATGGACGGCAGCTGCAGGAACTCCTTGCTAGGGGCCAAGACTCCGGGCAGGTCCTGGGCCAGGCCTGCCTCCAGACTCTGCTCCTGCACGTTCTTCATCCGGCGCATCTTGAAGCGCCGGCGGCGGAGCGTGGGGGTCGACGAGCTGGACCACACGGGGCCCTCGGGCGCGCCCTGCGGCTCGGGCACATGCAGGGCGGGCAGCTGCAGGTTCTCCATCATGTTGGCGGCCGGCATCGGGCTCGGTGTCCTCCTCGCTAGCGCGTCCTGCTCGCTGCTCCCACCCCGGCCCCGCGCCACACAATCCGTCCCCTCTCACGTTAGGAAGCTCGAGCGACCAGAAGAGCGGATTCTTTCCCGGCGCCGAGAGGAGGGCACGGGAGGTCAGCGGCGCGCGGCCGCCCGGAGTCTAACTTTTCGGAGCGCGCGTCCTCCCGGCCGTACGTGCACCGCGGGCGAGGCGACCCGGGCGCGGCGGAGCCGCCTGCCACCCCGGCCGCCTCCTGGGGCTCCCCGCGCGCACTTGTTTGTCTTCCGCTGCGCTCCCTCGCTCAGCTCGCTGGCGTCTCTGCCTTAGCGGAACTCGGCAGCCCGGGGCCCCAGGGGGCGGCTCGGCAAACTCTCAGCGGTTTGCGTTCGGCAGACCCGGTGGGGGAGCTGGCTTGGCGCTGCAGGGAGGTAAGAGAGCAAGAGGTAGAGGCAGTGGTAGGAAGGAGAAGGAAAGAGAGAGACACGGAGCGAGACACTGGATAAAAACAGAGATGAGGAGGGGGCTGGGGAAGGGGTGGTTTGCTGTCCTGGAAGGGCTGGCACGGGCGGCGACCGCCCTGTAACTGTACACGGAATCCCGTGGGGAGGGACTCTGCCTCCGAGTCAGCGCTGCTCCAATCAGCCTAATGAAACAGGAGCACAAACCAAACTTTCTCAGAGCGGCGATTGGCCAGCCAGGTCTCATTAGCTAGCTGCCTGCTTTTTTTTCCTGGAGGAGGGGAAATCTATGAATTCAGTTCTCCCTCTCTGGGGCCACCCAAGATACCGAGTAGAGAGAAAACTAGAGGGCTTTTCAGGGGAATCTCTTCTCCTAAGAAAGGTGCTTTCTTTGAGTTATTTGGGGTACAGAGGGGGGCCCAGGAAGCCTGGGCACAGTCTGTAGGAGAAAGCAAGGTTCCCAAAGGCTGCTTCCAAAATGGCACGCTGAGAAGAGAGGACATTTTGGTGGCATGAGCGGAGGACACCAGACATGACATACCAAGGAAAGACAGGTGACATCATCAAGTGACATAGGACACACAGCACCAGGAAGAACAGAGATGGAACCCCGTACATTGTGAGGGACCCTGCCAGTACCACAGCCCCACCGAAGCAAAGAATAAAATGAAAGGAAGGTGGGGCTGGGGATTTAGCTCAGCGGCAAAAGCGCCTGCCTTGCAAGCGCAAGGTCGTGAGTTCGGTTCCCGGTACCGGAGAAAAACCAAAAAAAAAAAAAAAAAAATGAAAGGAAGGTGAACATAGCAAGGTTATGCCTCAAGGAAAGCCCCAGGAAATGCAGTCCCCTTACAACGAGTTTAGTCTCCTTCAGTTCTCCCACAGCCCACCAGGGGTATGGACTAGGTCACAAAGTACAGGATAACCCGGGTCACAGAACCTAGAAAGTGTGGGTCAGTCCAGGTGGGTTCCCAAGATGTGCTGAGTCACTTCCTCCTGGACCTAGATAGCACCTTAAGGGATGGGTCCTCACAGGGAGGAGCCCGCTCTTGGGCTGGGTCCAAGCCACCCAGCTTTAAGAGCAGAGGCTGCAGCACCCTTTCCCCTTCCTCCCAGCAGGGCATTTGCCTCTTCTGTACAAACAAACCATGAGGTGCGCCAAAGGCCACACTACGGTGCCCACAATCTGACCCACCCTCTTCTCTGCCCTCTTCCTGCATCCAGTTTCCTCCATTTGGAAGCTGACACCCAATTTCTGTGCCAGGTCATATCTCACAAGGGTCCTAAAGCTGAAGGGGAAAAATTCCCTGAAGTACACAAGAATTCACTGCAAAAAACGTATCCCTGCAGGTAGCAAGATGTCATGGGTGACAGCGGACCACATAGTCCATCATCCCCTACAGTGACACTTGCAGGGAACTCAAGATGTCTTGGCATTATATGACCTCAGAGAGGCTGGGAACTAAGGAAGTGTGTCTTGCTCAAGGAGAGAGACTGGCTGAAAAGCAGAGGCCAGGTCCACCCTTAAATGACCCCCTGGAATACAGATCCCTGTGTCTTACTCTTCACATCCGTCACTAAATCTCTCCAGGATGATCTGGTATCACTCTATTTTAACTCCTGGATGTGGTACAGAAAGGAGAAATGCCTTTCTATCAGGTGTCAGCCCTGGCAGGGAGCAGGAGAACTCTTCCGGCTCCTGCAATGCTGAGGAGCCTGACTGGAACTCTGAACTTCAGGGTCCAGAACTGACTCAACGTTTTACACACTTTGTTCCCAGCCTTGGGTTTTTCCAAGGAGATACACTTTTCATGTGATGAGACAACGTCTCAGTTCAAGGCAGCTGCCTGCCAGAGAGGCTATTGAAGTAGGAGACCAGAGCCTTATGTGTTTAAGGGAAAAAAGGAAGGATGTCCATTTGGAGGCCAAGGGATTATAAAGCAAGGGTCACACAACAGAAATTGAAAACTCCTTGGGTTTTGTTGAAAAAGGGAGGATGAATAAAGAATGTATCCCTCTTTACCTTTGTTGTGGACACTCTGAGTTTAAGTGTGCACTGCTCCAAAGAAAAAGAGCCAGCTGCTCCCTCTTCCCACAGAGGTCAACCAGTTGTCCTACTCACAATAGACCCTGGACCTAAAGTCCTACAAGATATGATTTAAGCCATGGGCACCACAGTGGTGGGGAATGACTGTTTACATTTCACCTGGCCTGCAGGCAAACCTCTTCCAAACCAAATAACAAAAGGTCTCACTTGATCCAGAAGCAGATCTCCAGAACACTGCTCCCCACTAACGTTGTCCTGTCCTTGCTCATTTTCACCTGCAGTCCCTTCTTACCTTCAACCCAAAGCCTTTCATTCATTAACACCCTAATTGAAAAAGGCCCCCAACCCCTCCAGCCATGGCTGTTTACTGTGGCACTATCATAATGACGGGGCACCGCTTGGAAATACAGGGCATCTGGCAACTGTGGGCTGTCATTTTATCAGCTCTGTGAGGAAGAGCCCAGTTTCTCCTTCCTTTCAGTATCTCTAGTATCCTGTGCTTTTTCTTGGTATGTGAACTTTGTGTCTCTTCAAAGGGCTTTCATATATCATACCGCGTCTTTCTAGCAGCCCCGGGAATGAGTTAGGTCACAAGTTATTACTCTCATTTTACCATGATGAAAGTAAGACAGAGAAATACAGTAATTTATCCAAGGTCACCAATAAATGACAATGACTCATCAGTGACAAGGCCAGAATTGAACTGAGGCCTTCCAAAACCAGTGGCGAGGCCACCAAAGTCACACTAAATGCATCAGCTCTGGGAAGCAGGGCCCGCATAGTACCCAAGTTTTATTAGCCTTGGCATTGGTTGGGTACATCATGAAATTACATGTAGCTGTTCAATTCCAAGTTGTTTTACAGGCAGGGAAATGGAAGCATAAAGTTTGGAAAAACCATTTCCTAAAACAGCTAGTAACAAGGTGTCAGGACCAAAGAATTTCCACAATCCTCTTCTAGAACCTCAGCCATCACATCCACTCCCCAAGTCTCCCCCATCCCCATACTTGGCTTTCCAGGACTCCACAGTTCCCTGTGAACCGGACCTCACCTTGGAGGGCTTCCTTCCCACACAGGCAGTGACCAGAGCGACCCAGCCCCCACCCCACCCCACAGCCAGGCCTCTGACTTTAAATGAAAGGAGCTCATATTACCAAGCAACTGTTGTTTATTCTCGGCTGCTCAGGCTCCCTTTTCCTGCAGACACAAGACACCGAACACATGTCTGTTACTTCTGGAGACCCTAAAATGACATAGTTATCACTTGTCTGAAACTTCCTGGAGAAAACTGAACTGAAAAAATAGCAGCAAGGTTGACTTTCTCCTTGGGCTGCATGCAAAGGCCAGCACCCACTGGCCCCCATTCCACCTGCCCCAGGAGGTCACAGGTAGGCACCTCATGAGCACACAGGAAATTCCCCTTTACCACCAGGGCTGCCAGACAGTCTCTCTCCCACCCAGAATGGCCAAGCTCAATGATGAACCCAGATTCAAAGGACAGAAGTAGGCACTGGGTATTGGTGAATGGACTGTGTGGTTTGCTGGGAAGTGGAAATTAGACAGAAATATGGGCGATGCTGTGAGAACAAAGCCAGATGTTCCTCACTAGCTGTCTTTCTGTTATCAACACAGGGAAATGGGATGGGTGCAGAGCACAGTGTGGGGAGTTCAGATCCAGTGGTAAACATTTACAGTAAAGCCTGTTAAGGACAGGAACACTGACTGAGCCTGGCTAGAAAATGCCTTCCTCTGTGGATCTCCAGAAGTGATGAGAGTCTAGTTAGAGGCAGTAGAAGGAAAGATTATCTCTTAAAGAGCCAGATATTATCCTACCACTGGGGGTCTCTAAGGTCCAGGTTATTTCTTTACAATAAAAGCAACTCATTTATCCCTAAAACAAAGTCAGTCTGAAGTGCTCACCGCCAATTTCAAGCGTTAGATCACTGGATACTAAACACCCCACTGAGACCCACTGACAGCTTTTACGTCTTCTATCATGAACTAGAAATACAAGGCTCGATTAATCATTAAGTACAAGGAGGCTGGGAAACAGGGATGGAGGGTAGGAAGACAGGAAAAGGAATTGGAGAAAATAACTTACACCCCATGCCTGGTATCTCCTATTCCTTTCTTAATTCTCCCTTCATTTCCCCTGAAAGGAGCTATATATTCAGGAAGTGTTGTTGGGTGAAGTAGTACATGCCTGTAGTCCCAGCTACTCTGGAGGCTGAGCCAGGAGGATGACAACCATAGGCAACTTAACAAGACCCTGTCTCAAAATTAATTAAAGTAAAGTAAAATAAAATGGCTGAGGTTGTAGCTTCGTGCTATACCACCCTTGGGTTTAATCCCTGGTACCATAAGGAAAAGAAAACAAGAAAAGATAAGAAGAACTAGTAAAAGAAACTGCACTGAATTCACATGATTAGAGGGTGGGGTAGGAGGCCAGTACTGGCTTTAAAAAATCCAAATAAAACCACTGTCAATCAGCTGCCACATCCGGCTTCCCCCTTTTAAAGAAAAAGGAGAAAGGGCTTTGAGACATTGATGGAAACTCAGTTCCCAAGAACAGAGTCTGGGGAGCGCTCTCACCTTTGGAGAATGCATAGAGTCAGCAGAGGCTTGCTTCCACTGGCCTTCCAGAGAGCCAGGGTGAACAGTGACGCCATCTCACCTTGGGAATGGGACGTCACCAGATAAGCCCTTCTGGTTTCATAGCTCTCCAAAGGGCTTAGGATTCAGAGAATGTTTTGCACAACACTTGGCTGTCCTTGTTCTTAACACCAGAGTACTTCTTTTTTAAATTTTTTTGAGACAGGGTCTTGCTCTATAAGACAGGGTCTTACTTCAGGCTGGCCTTGAACTTGAACTCCTGGCAATCCTCCTGCCTCAGCCTCCTGAATGCTGGGGATTTCAGGCATGCACCACCGTGTCCAACTTTGACACTAGAATACTAAAATGCAGACAGATCATCTGCTCTTGTCCTCTAGCCCTTCCTTGTAAGGACAACTTAGTGCAAACCAGGTGTTGCAAAGATTTCCTGAGGTCACTCCATCCACTCTTGGCTGCTTATCCCATTC